CGTTAAAATTCAAAACGATCCTAATAAACAAATCACAACTACTATTGAAAGCTCTGTACCTTAAAGCGACTTTAACTTTCCTAAGGTTTGCAGCAAAACACTGATTGATAGCTCAACTCTTCGGCGATTCTTATCAGCTATACGAAGCTATATGTTGCATATTCCAAACTCTGCGGAGGGAAATTGTTTAACAGAAAAAGAAAACCACACACTATGTCTGAAAAGCGACGTAAAATCAATAAAATTGCGAATTATCAAAATATATTAGTGAGAAACAGTCCCGCCTTCGACCGCCATGCTTTTGTTTCTTCTCAAGACCGTTGATTTATGGTTTTTGACGTAATGCGCATGATCAGTACACAAATCCGCTGGCAAGAACCTTACTGATCGCTTTGCAAGTTGTGAGAACATCGTTTGGATTTCATTTAAAGGTCAAATGAACCAAAAATTCGACACTTTTTATTTTAGTTCAATTCTAGTGAAATGTGTTCAATATGAACCAAATAAACATACTATGAAGTTTCAGCTCAATTGAAGCAAGTATCTCCGAGATATTCGCAATTAAAAATTGCTGTTTTTTGGCCCTTATCTTCGTAGAGCGGTCGGAAAAATTGTCGGAAAAAACAGCTTGTGACGTCAATGTTGGTCAGGTGAAAAAAAGCGGGAAATTCATTTCAGAGTTTTTCGAGTCGACTTGGCGCAGAAGTGGTTTGTGCGGCCATAAACCTGGAAAGAACAGGCAATTTGTCTTCAAAAGTTGCAGGCTGTGGTTATATTCTTATTATTCTTCTTATTATTTAATTTTCTCGAAGAATACATCATAGTAAAACGGACTTTAACGACATTTACTAATTTCCTTGAGTTGTACTGGAAATGTGCGTGCGTAAGTCCGATTTTTTTCAAGATGCATTCACAAAATGTGTTTATATAAGGAAGTTCCTAGATATATAAGGTCCGGAGCTCCACCGTGGACACAAAAACAAAATATCTTTGTATAATAATCTGCCCAAAGAAATTCAAGTTTGCCCGCAATGTGTTTGAAGTCACTGAGCTTTGTCGTACTCCAGCTGGTATTTTAAAACCCACGCTCGATCGGACACTTCTAGCTTCGCAGATCACTAAAATATAGGCAGGTACAAAAGTCGGACCGGATCAACTCGGACCGCCAGTCCGGGTCGGATCAACTCGGACCAACTCGGATCGAATAAAAAAATAAAAATAAAATAAAATTGGACTCGGATCAACTCGGATCATAAAAAAAAAAAAACAACGCGGATTATAAAAAGAAAAATAAGTAAAATCAGTCGGTATCACTTAACTTTCACCCGCCATTTTGTTTTTTCTCACGAACTCGTGGTTGCGTAAATTAATTTTATTTTTATTTTTATTAATTTTAATGATACACTAGTGAGCAGCACACATACACTTCCAGTGAACATTTTCAACTTGGAAGGAGGAGAAATCATGCTCGCCCGGGACAACGAAAATTTTCGTACCCCAGGCGAGAATTGAACTCACGACCCTCCGAATACTACATGTTTATCGGACGTTCCAACCACTGAACCGGAGGGTCGCGAGTTCGATTCTTGCCCAGGGCATGGAAATTTCTATTGTCCAGGGCGTGCATGGTTTCTCCTCCTTCCAAGTTGAAAATGTTCACTGGAAATGTATGTGTGCTGCTCACTAGTGTATCATTAAAATTAAGTTTCAGAAGTCCTGCAGAAAAAACAAAACAAACAGGAACAAACAAACAAACACTCTTCGGTACCTATCTAAATGCGATCAACAGACCAGGCTTTTGATGTTTTTCTCATAAATAATTCAGTAGTCTAATAAATAAGCAAATATATACATTCTAGGCGACTGAAACTATCATTTCTTTACTGTCGAACCACAACCACGAGTTTATAACATGATCCGAGAGGTGAACTGGCACTAGTAAAACAAAATGGCGCCTGAAAGCCACGGAGAAAAAAAGGATGATCTGGCCTTTTTTACCCTCCAAATGGGTTTAATTTTCAGGTTTGCTGATTTAATTTAATTTTTTTGATTGCTCCGCGTTGATCCGAGTCCAATTTTATTTTATTTTTGTTTTTTTATTCGATCCGAGTTGGTCCGAGTCGATTCGAGTTGATCCGACCCGGACTGGCGGTCCGAGTTGATCCGGTCCGACTTTTGTGCCTGCCTCTAAAATATAAACAAAATCCTCAAGGTAGAAGTTTTGGCGTTGATATGTGGGCAGAAAAAGAGTTTATCATTATCTAGTAAATCTTCCCAAAGATCGGTTTCAAAGCAACCATAGTTTTTTACACCTGTTAAAAACCTACACGTAAGTAAGATTTCCTTCAAACAAAGTTAAAGTTACATTATTGCAAAAACTTCTTTCCAATTATGTATAAGATTTAGATTAAAGAGATGCGACAAGCAAAGAACATTTCCATCACGCATAAAATTCAGCTTAAGTGAACTAAAAAAAGCTTCAATAAGGTTGCAAGACAACAAATTTTCATTAAAAAAACATAAGGCTTAAGGCTCTTATACCTGATGACAAAGAAGAAGTGAATTTTCTGTACGGAAACAACTTACCTAAAGATCTTAAAAGAAAAAGATCAGCTGCAAGCCTCGTAGCCAAGCCATGATTCCGACTACTTAGCTAGATCAGCTACTTTTTTCCAGTAATAACTGGTCCATGCGAGGGTCTTCATTCAAGCAAATTAAACTCAGCAAACTGAATCATTAGAAAATACAGAAAACTGCACCTAAGGATTTGTTTTGCTCGCTTTAGTCAAATCCAGCTCCAGCAATTGTTTACAGTTAAAAGAGTCAATTGTTTTGGAGTCACTGCCGGCAGTTGTCGTTCTCCGCTACTTCACAGCGAGTGAAAGGAAAATTTGCGTACAGAAAGATAACAAAACTATGTAATTAAAACTGAAAAAACTAAAGGAAAAAACTCTGACTATTATTACTTGAGCAACAGCAAAAGGATCGAAGTAGTCTTCTCTTCTCGAGTAAGCTTGCTGGCCTTCTAAAGTTCCGAGGGTCGCTAGAGTATTTACTAATAACCCGAGCTATCTAGCATACGATACAGAAGGACATCTAGTTACTTTGTCTTTGCGATTTGGTTCACGAAATTCACCGCTAAGTTTACCCATGTAAAAAGGCTCCTTTATCAAGTTTAATTTTCTGGATTACGGCCGTTGCCATGGCAACATCGCGTCCTTAAACAGGCAGTAATTTTGTGATTTTTGATAATTTTTTCTTAATATTTCTTATTTCACTCTGTGAAATGTCCTTAAACTTTGCCACTTTATGTTAACCATATTGCTTAACATTTTAAAGTAGAAAAAACATGGAGTCGTTAAGACGGTTTCGCCAATAATTTGAAATTTGTAACTTTTCTTAATAGAGGAGTTTAGCTCTTACAGATTTTAACAAGAAAAGGGCAGTACAAGGGTACTGCAACTGTTAAGAAATGAGGCGATTTTCAAAANGAGTCACTGCCGGCAGTTGTCGTTCTCCGCTACTTCACAGCGAGTGAAAGGAAAATTTGCGTACAGAAAGATAACAAAACTATGTAATTAAAACTGAAAAAACTAAAGGAAAAAACTCTGACTATTATTACTTGAGCAACAGCAAAAGGATCGAAGTAGTCTTCTCTTCTCGAGTAAGCTTGCTGGCCTTCTAAAGTTCCGAGGGTCGCTAGAGTATTTACTAATAACCCGAGCTATCTAGCATACGATACAGAAGGACATCTAGTTACTTTGTCTTTGCGATTTGGTTCACGAAATTCACCGCTAAGTTTACCCATGTAAAAAGGCTCCTTTATCAAGTTTAATTTTCTGGATTACGGCCGTTGCCATGGCAACATCGCGTCCTTAAACAGGCAGTAATTTTGTGATTTTTGATAATTTTTTCTTAATATTTCTTATTTCACTCTGTGAAATGTCCTTAAACTTTGCCACTTTATGTTAACCATATTGCTTAACATTTTAAAGTAGAAAAAACATGGAGTCGTTAAGACGGTTTCGCCAATAATTTGAAATTTGTAACTTTTCTTAATAGAGGAGTTTAGCTCTTACAGATTTTAACAAGAAAAGGGCAGTACAAGGGTACTGCAACTGTTAAGAAATGAGGCGATTTTCAAAAAAATTTGAAAAAGGAGAGATAGCGGATTCAATTTTATACCAAACACTGGATGTTTTCTTCGAAATACTTAACCATTGTAGCCAAAATTCGAGCCGTGGTGGTCACTACTCGTGCGGATGGCGATCATCGGAGAAGAAGACGAAGGTTTTGCAAGGATCGCGATAAGACCTTCATTTCCTAATCTGCTGTACCGACTGTTTTTCAAATGCCAGCCCACTTCCGGATACTTTTTCAACCTTGTTCCTCTTCAGGGATAATTTCGACGGCGAAGTTTATCTTTAAAAGCCTACTGTAAAAGATGGCGCCGATCTAGAAAAAGTACATCACGTCCTCAGCTGCACGTACAAGACCGTAGTTCTCAACGGATAACCTACTATTGCTTTCGTCAAGGGTCAATCTGTGACTCAGAAATTATTTTTCGTTGTGCAACAACATTTTCTGGTGCATCTTGTGCGTTAAAGAACTTTAATTTTGAAAAGGAAAAAGTGCAAGGATGTTGGTTCGTCGATGGGAAGGTTCCTGCGATTAGGATCCAAGTTAAGAAGGAAACCTTTCTTCTGACAAGTTTTTTAAACAATGTGATAGAGTCGGCACAAGAAAAAAATTTACACTTGCTGTAATCTTGCCTTAAAGCCACTTCTAGAATTTCTTAATCAAATTAAATGTAACAGAAATGAAGTGACCGAGGAGCACCGCCGGTGAAGACACTCTTCAGTGGTTGTTCGGGACTTGGCTCGATCTTTCAGATCTTTCCAGAACCAAAGGCCAGAAACAGTAACATTGCTTCCTTTAGGGTTAGTATACTTATTTCTTTGTTTTCTTTGTATAAAGTTTCCATTCACCATTTACTTCGACATTTGAGGGATCATTACCCATTGGTTAAACAGGTGTGGCTTGCAGACGACTCAGCTGGAGGAGGGAGTATAGTGCAGTTATACAACTGGTACAGGCAATTGAGTAAGGAAGGTCAAAAGTTTGGTTACCTTGTGAATGGGACAAAGAGCTGGCTTATTGTGAAGTCTAGGGAACTCGCGGAGGAAGCAAAGAGGGTGTTTGGAGAGGAAGTCAACATAACGACTGAAGGTCAGCGCCATCTGGGAGCAGTTATTGCGTCGCAAGAATACAAAGAACAGTATTGTGAGGAGAAGGTTCGTGCATGGAAAGAGGAAATCGAACGTCTCTCTGAAATAGCGAAGAGCCAGCCCCATGCGACGTATATTGCCTTCACAAAAGGCTACAAGTCGAAGTTCACCTACTTCATGCGCACGATTGAATCGTTTGAAGTTTATGTCGATCCAATCCAGGAAGTGATTGAAGATTTACTACTCCCAACTTTGTTCGGTCAATCAGAGCCTCTCCATAACGAGGTGCGCAGACTTGCTACCCTAGCAACGGGTCAAGGGGGTCTAGGCATTCCTGATCTGAAATCCGAGGCACCGCAAAAGTTTGCTGCCTCGAGACTAATAACCACCGAGCACGTAGATTCTATTACTTCACAGAGTTCCATCATGGTGCCAGGAGAAAGATCTACGGAGGAGCTAAAGAGGTATCAACAATCACTTAAGAGAGCAAGTGCCAAAGAGAAAATGGATAGCATTGATTCAAGCCTCTCCCCAGGCCTGCTGCGTCTGGTTAATCAATCGAGGGACAAGGGCGCAAGTTCTTGGCTGAATACGATGCCTCTCGCAGACAAAGGTTTAGCCCTCAACAAGCAAGAGTTCAGAGACTCGCTACGCTTGCGTTATGACTTGCCCTTAGTCGATTTACCAAGTCATTGCATATGTGGGGATAAATTCACCGTTAGTCACGCCCTCTCTTGTAAAAAGGGGGGTTTGTAGCGCAGAGACATGACGGTGTACGGAACTTGTTAACGACATTCATCGACAAGATCTGCAATAATGTCGAAATCGAACCACGTCTTCAACCCCTGGACAACGAGCGATTTCATTTGAGGAGCGCTGTTACAAGTTCTGAGGCAAGGTTGGACATCAAAGCGGGAGGTTTCTGGGCAAAAGGAGTTACGGCATTTTTTGATGTTAGAGTTACGCACGTCATCTCCAAGTGTTACAAGAGCAAGCCAACATCGGAAGTGTTCAAAGTGCAAGAAGAAGAGAAGAAGCGCAAGTACCAACAGCGGGTGTTAGATGTAGAAATGGGTTCGTTTACGCCTTTAGTGTTTGGAACCAATGGCGGAATGGGAAACGAGTGTCAGCGGTTCTTAAAGCATCTCGCAGACAAGATAGCTCAGAAAGACACCAAGCCTTATCATGTTGTAATCACTTGGCTCCGGACACAGATCTCGTTTGAACTCTTAAGATCGGCACATGCATGCGTCAGAGGTTCGCGAACGCCTTTTCGTAGCAAGATAGAGCAATCATTAGACTGTAAAATAAATATCGCTAGTGCGGATATCTGAAATACGTGTCTATATGCTTTTATACTTAGGGCTTTTTATGGGCACTGGTTTAGGCGTCATTAGTATAATTCGATTGTATGATCTTAATATCTCTGCATAATGGAATTCTTTATTTTATAGAATTTTGACTTTTTATTATTAATTATATCTATTTCCTCTTCTTTTATGTAAGGTTAAGTTACTTCTATTTTTTAGAATTTGTAAATGAATAGTGTTTTGATGAATTAATTAGATTTTTTGTAACAGCAGGTTGATTGAAAATAAAGCTTTTTGGGGGAAATTTTTCGAAACAAAGAGGCCATGTTTGTTTTATTTTTGCGTGGACGTTGCGCGGATTTTAAAGCTCGCGCCATATTAGTGCTCAGGCTGCGCACGGCCAATTTACTCTAGGGAGCCACCTTAAGCGCTCAAGTCTGTTCACTCGCAAGCGTTAGCATTACGGTTCTTTGACATAAGACAAGGATAAAGCTGCTTCTGCAAAGGTAAATAAATCTGGGCATGTCAAAAAACTAACCGCAACTACTAATAACAGAATTCAAGCGGGTTTTAGTTCAGTCCGGCGAAAGAAGGCGAAGAACTGGACACAAAATCAATTAACAAATCGATTGCACAATTATCAGAAAAATACAAAGCTCTTAGGAAATGTTCAAAACGTTTTATTCCTCCTCAGACTGACGGATGATCTGTTTTTACTCTAACATTGGTTGTTCTGAACCCAAAGTAATTTTCAAGTGACGAAAAAACAACAAAAAGAAAAAAAAGAAAGCCTTTACAAATGGCAAACGTTCGCACCTTATGTATTTCATTCAGTCTCAGTCAGAACTCTCACAGAACGAGACAAACAAACGCAGGCAATAAGGGATGCGCAGAAGCTTGCGCAGAACGTTTTTCAGCCCTGAAAGACCAACAATGACGTCACGTAGTCTCCAGTCTATCACGCGGCCATTTCAGAAACGTTTTCGTGAAGTTTTCGGAAATAATCGGATTTTGATCTTTTATCTTTCTATAAAGGCTTGGGAAGAAAAATCTTTACCCAAATCTCACTTAGGATGGTTCTTTTTAGTGTTTGGTGAAGGTAAAGTGACAGAAGAAAATATTTCAATTTTTTGGTTCATTTGACCTTTAAGAGAATGTATGGGAAGTACCTCCCTCCCCCCCCCCTCGATTATATTAATTCATGTGTAATCACAAGGAAGGAGCAACTAATTTCGTCATAGATCGCTTAAAAGGCGGGCGCAGCCCTGCTCCTGGCCAGTCTGATGTCCAAAAAAGTAGGGGACTTGTCGTCTTGGTCGGTACAGCTGGATAGCCCAGGGGCTGCCCTAACAGTGGGTGGGTGGATGAGGCTGGGGGGTCAAAACTAGTGGGGTAGGGAGGGGGCTGTTTCGACACAATCCCTTCAGTAAGCAGTGGTGTTCAGTAGAGGCTTTGACTGGCAAGTACCTTGTTCTTAATGTTGCCCTAGCCGGCTGCATCAGGCCTCTGCTGAGAATGATTATCATGATAATTGCAGAGCTCAGTGGACAGATTTAGAGACTTGACAAAATTATCAGGAGAGAAAGCTTTTATGTCTGTAAGGCACGAGGTCCAAGTACAGTGTGACGGTTAATTGAGTGTTGCTTACTGACAATCTGACAATCGCATGTGTCTAAAAGGTCTTCGAGAACAGATCACGTTTTTTAAGGCGTTATTAACCTAACTATCCAGTAAATATTGTAATTGTAATTTACGCTTTCACTCTAAGCGGTTCACACAATTCAAAATTCAAAAATCACTCCAAAAAGGTTCACGCAATTAAAAAAATCCGAATATCACGCAATAAATTCACACACCAAATGTTCATTAAATATTTCCTAAAATGTGTGCCAACAGAGTTTCATACTTCATCGGAAACAATCATCTGGCAACTGCCAGAAAAACGGTTACAATCAGAGATATACGAAACTTTGAAAACAGTACATACTGGGTGTGGCGCGTGGTTCGTCTGGCGGGATGCTACAGTTAATTAGGTGATGACATTTTTCGACAAAAATTTCCTAGAATGTCTACAGCACGATGTAAGCATTAGCCTGTGCCAGGCTCTCAGATAGCTTCAGATAGTATAGTGGGAACGTCTTAAAACGAGCAAAGCGAAAATAAGACGTGCACGACTTGGGAAAGACCCTGCGCGTTTTTTGCATTTCTTATTACTGAACGACTTTCCACCACCATCTCGGAGCCTGGAACAGGCTATGTAAGCATATACACCTATTTCAAAAAAGGTTGCTTTGAGATTTGGTCATTGAAACGCAGAATACAATGCAATTCTTTGCTTGAGTGACCACCAAACAATGGCTTTCAAAGACCAAAGCATGATTCCCAAAGCAACCTTTATTGAAATAGGTGTATATATATTTGCAAGTATGAAGACAAAAGCAACGGCTTTGTACGCTCTACACTTGCGTTTTGCATGTTAGTACATCTTGTTGTTTCCTACAAAACGACAACGTGAAAAGGCCAAATTTAACGCTTCGTGACGAACCTCAGTACACGAGGTTTTCTCCCGCCAAGCAAGTGCCGTCAATACCAGTTTCATTCTTGGGCAAGCAGCACTGCTTTGAATTAATTGAAAGGTTGAAATAATCGTGAAGAGATCATTACTACTTATGAGATTTTAAGATGACGTTCTCGCTGCAATTGCCGTTTTCAATGATTAAATTCTCTACTATCGATAATCAGTGAAATGGAGGTTTGAATCGCTATCGTTATGAAAACTAACACCGTATATACTCCCGGCGTGGCCATATGAAAAGATTAATCAAAGACACTCTTCTTGAAATATATATTACTTATCTAATATCCTGCAGTCCACGCAAAGTATCCGACAGAAACTTAATAACCCTAAGAAAAGATTTCAGAATAACACACGATGATTATATATTCCCCAAATTAGGCAAAAATATTTAAAACTCCCCTGTAACATACAAGACTTTCACTAAGTTTTAAACACTGTAAGTTCGTCGCTGAATTTCCAGCTTTTGTTTTCTTTAAGTGTCACCCGAGCCCTCCTCAGTATCGGTAATCAAGTAAATAGTTTAATTGCTCCAGTTGTCCAAATCCGTATTTCACTCAGCAAACTTTACGGGCCGCCCAGTTCTTTTCTCGAAGAATAACGCATTAATCCTTGCTTAAAATGTTCCAGCTCGTTCTTTTTCTTAGCCTAATAAGACTTTCTTTGCTTTACATACTTTTTTCTTCGTTGCGTTCCATGCTTGATTCATGTAAGATGCTTGAGCCTGTTCAGTTTGCTTCTGAAAGAACTGACGAGTATCCTCATTCTCTCGAAAATCTTTCCACGGATCGAACCCAGGCTTTCCAAGACGATTGATTTGGACTGCTGCATCCCTTATTATCTGCAAAGCACTTACGCGATCTTGCCAACCAGGTTTTGCTTGTGATTTCTCAGATTCTATGAGCAAATCCAAATAGTCCACTTGTTGTAGTGGATCCTTTTTAAGGGCAATTTCTGACAACTTCTTTAAGCCACGTTGCATTTCGGCGACGAAGTTCAATACAATGCTATTGGTCTTATTAAAATCCTGCTCTACTTGCTTGATTATAGCCTCTACCTTGCTCTGGCCTTCAACCGCTATATCGAACCTTTCTTTGATTTCGTCATATTCCTTTTCCACGGTTTCGTACTGGGTATCATAGCGATATGCGTCATTTACGTGTTTTGACCAGTGACACTTGTGTGGACATTCCCGGCAACTCCCAAAGAACGACATTGCAGCGCATCCTTTCTTGTTCTCATTTCTTGGAATTCTACAAGGAAAATGGCAAGTGTAGTTGCAAACCAAGCAGTTGGTAGTATACTGACCAATGGGCAGCTCTACTTGGACGCGTTTTGCTTGTTCAACAGTGAACTTGAAGTTCTTGTTGGCATTTATGTCGGCTGCATGTTGTTTGCAGACTCTCGTTAACTGTTGCAGTTCGCTCAGTGTGTTTACTCCAAGCACAATCTTCTCACGCAAACCACTGAGTCGAACTTCCAGCTGAGCTCTTTCATCCAACACCTGCTTCGTAAGGACAAGACTTTTTGGTTCCATCTTGGCCAATTCGTGAAAGAACTTCTCAAAACTCTTGATTCCCATTCTCCAAAACATTCTGTCGAAGTTTTCTTCGTCTTCTTCACCAGAGTTAGCGACAAACAGGGCGCTGTTGTTAAACTTGAAGAAGTTACTTTCATCCTCTAGGATTCCGGCTTCTAGCATTGCTGACAGGGCTTGAGGCTTTTGACCATCAGCAAAGGTAAAGAGCACTAACACATTCTTCTTGATATCTTTTCCGAACATGGCCAGGATTCTGTCAAAAACATACTGCTGCGTTGGAGTGAGCCTCGGATTACCAGCCTGAGCGATGAAGCAGATGGCATCAATATGA